AATCAATCTTCGATTTTATCCTAGGCTCCAATCTTCTGGTGGGTAACAGGGGTACAGAACCCACCTTCATAGTCAAGAACTGAAGGGAAGTACTTGACATCTCTTTTTACTCTGACTCCCTAGCAGACAACATTGTTAGATGGGGAGTCCTAGAGAAACACTCTTTCTCGGACCACCGAAACATAGAATTAGTGGTCAATTTTGAGAACATTAATCGACTAACGGTACGCAAACCGAGGAAAGCGAACTGGGAGTTATACAGGAAAAAACTAGAAAGTTCCTTGGGGAAACAGGGGACGTTGACAGTGGGGAAGCCCCGGATGCCATGGTGGACACGCTTACGGCAGCGTGCGCCAGGGCATTCAATAAAGCTTGTCCCAAAAGCAGATCGGGCAATAACAAGTCAAAGAAACCACCATGGTGGTCGCAAACACTTGCGCCCTTTAAGACCAAGGCCCGCAAGGTCTTTAATTTTGCCAGCAAGCAAAATCGGAGACAGCCTGGGATACGCTCCATGAACAGTATTGTGACCAGTTTGGACGTCGTCGACATATACTTCATTTAATAAGACTGGAGTTGCTAAGGGGTAGCGATGTTGTTCGTCGTGAGCGAGTTGACGGATTACGCGTATGGCTATATACGGTGCTGATGCAGTCCCAAAGGTGACAGTATTTAGGCTGTACTCGGCTATTTCGTTTTGATCATTCCTCCATAAGATGCGTTGAAATTGAGTATCATCCTGGTGCATGTCGATACAGCGATACATTCGTTGGATATCTGCTGCAAACACGTAACGATGTAGCCTCCATTTCATGATGACTCCTCCTAAATCGTTTTGTAGCGGTGATTATGTTAGGGATTATATGTCGTTAGGGGATTTTTCGTTCGAAGTGGTACATGATGAATCGTACACCACCCGAACTTTGGTCGTTGTACTGTCCTCCTTTATTTATTTATTTATTTATTTATTTATTAACACGGCATGGTGTGGGAGAGAACATAGAAATACTGAAAGAAATACTGTTGACCTCTTGGAGTGATCATTTGATGTCGAGTTTCTGCGGTAGTGACTTTAGAGAGTTGCTTAAGATCAAAATATTCCTTAATGGTGGAGTGATATTGTTGTTTAAGTGTGTCGTTTCTGTTTAGCCGACGTTCTAAGAGATGGAATCTATTGAATGCGATTTGGTGAGACTTTCCGATGACTGCTTCCAACGGAAGCCGGACCAGGTATTTTCCATTGGGTTGTCGGGTGCAGGTACGCTGGAAATGATCCTCACACCATTGTTCTTCTGCTGTTAAGGTCCTCTCAGAGCTGATTTGATCAAGATCGAAGAAACCCTTTACCAGTGCATCCAGATTAGTCTGATGGCAACGAATGGTTACCACATTTGCCCTTGTTTCATTGCTATGGCCAAACACGATCCAACCCAATTGAGTGAGTTGAGCAATAGGTTGATTTGAAGCTCCTTTCCGTAAATCTGGCAGAAACAAATATGGTATTAGATCTACTCCAAATAACGCGTCGATGCGGCCTGGCCTGGTAAAGGTGGGATCGGCCAAGTGTAATCCCTGAAGATGCTGACAAGTGTCCACGTTGACATTGCTTCTTGGTAAATGAGAGGTTATCGAGTTGAGGACATACGCTGGTCGCACCAGATGGTGAAATTGAGGGTCCGTACATGAGCTTATGGAGAACTCTGTACTAAATCTACAGATGTTCTATGGGTTATCACCGACCCCGGTGATCTGTGCTGTGACTCGGTGACGTGGAAGCCCCAGCAACTGAGCGGCACGTTCTGTGATTAACGTGCCCTCAGAGCCATGATCGATCAAGGCTCGAATAACGGCAGTTTGTCCGGTGCTGTTATTATGTAGTTGTACTAGAGCAAAATGGATCGATTTGACTGCGCTGCAGTGGCCATCAGCACTGTAGTGGAATCGGGAGGATGAGCAAGATCGGAGCTCTCGTTTGCTGCGTTCTGAATAATCGATGATGGGCTGGTATACGTCGTGGGTAAGTGAAGCAGGGTATGGTGACGCTGTCCGCATTGTAAACAATTCTTGTTACTGCCACACTGCGACAAGGGATGATGGATGCTGAGGCAATTTAGACATGCCTTTGTATGGTCAATGATTCGTTTGCGGGCAAAGCAATCCTTAGATAAAAAATCAGGACACCGCCGCAAAATGTGTTGCCCCTTACAGTGTACGCAAGAGATGGGACCGCTGGTTCCAGTCGTGGTGTGGAACGTGCTGCCCTTGTAGAAGCCGGAACCCTTTTGCTTGGGATTTTGGCATGGATAGTTTGTCGATTTGTTGATCGTAAAGTTTTGCGTGGGCTGTGAACATTTCCGGTTCTCAATGATGTTCATGCTGACGAGGCGATTGTTGAGGAAGGTTTCCAAGTGGAGGAAACTCAGAATATCGCTGGAGTTTCCCAAGCAATGCTCCCAGGCTCGTACAGTTGTCGTAGGTAGTCTAGCGATCAAATGATGGACTATCCATTGCGTGCTAGAATCGATATTCGTTTTGAGACGATTGAACTCGTTGATGCATACGTTGGTTACGTTCAGCATATGTTTGATCTCTGATGAGCTTTCCCTTGAGATAAAGGGTAAGTCGTAGAGGGCGTTCATGTGGTGCATGAATTGTAAACGGGGGTTATCATAGCGTTTGATGATGAGATCCCATGCGATTGTGATCTTTCTGGAGCGCAAACAAGCTGTCGGCATTGCCACCCTTTGCCATTGTTTCAGACTCTGCACTGGAAGTGCTCGCTGGCTTGGGCTTGCTCATTTTGCGTATGCACTCACACTTACGTACGTATCTTCCAAAGTGAGAGAGCGACCATGGGCAAGCGTTAACGCGACACGTGCGATGCAAAGTTTGATTCCGTTATATTCGCTTTCTCTTTGTCAAAGAGAATAAAGGAGTTGAAAAGGAGATAATGGTTCCGTGTTGAGATTAGGTTTCCATTAACGATTTTGATGGAAATGTTGGAGATGCCCATGGATTGTGGAGTCGTGTGTGGATTGATCCCCTCATGGGCCACCAAAAATGTTGTGACAAATGCCGTTCATGGACGTAATGTCATAGTTGAGCACAGTTCTGCTCGGGGGTTTTGAATCCAAACGACTAGACAGAGTTACGCATTGAACTTCATTTTATTTACTTGCTTAATTTATGTTGGTTAATTTACAATTATATTTAATGGACCTCCTCCACTACTTCGATCGCCTTGCTTGCTCTACGACTCTTCTTAAAACAATAACTTTACTAGGGGAGAGACCAGATAAGGAAAGCTTTGCAAAGATTACAGGGAGAAATCTGGGTGGATTCTAAGCTCGCTGAAGATGGAGCGATAAATCGAAAAGATAAATAACGCCCGTACATTGGGGCTGTTATAAATAAAGTTAATCCCTGGTCGAGATGGAATCTTTCAAGTGGCGGTGATAAAAACCTCATCTGGAGTTACCAAGCGAGCAGTGACTAAGCTGTGCCTTTTGCCCCTTAAGGATGAAGTTGCACTATAAGCCCCAACTGGGGGGAGAATGTCGGGTCAAGCAGCTAACGACTAATTTAAACATAATAATTAATAATCAACTGATGTTTGTTGGTCGCAAGCCGACTCTCTTTCGGCCGCTCGGCTTTAGTAATTCGGCATTTAAAGTTAGCGAGCATTCGCTCAGCCTATTCTGTAAGGTTGGCGCCACTCTCGTTCGTTTTCTTATTGCGCTCGCATCCTAAATTGGATTTCAAATATTTTATACAAATCCTTATTTCATATGCAGCCCAAATAAAGTTTATAACGTTTAACTTAATTAAATTCTGATTTTTATTTACTGGCATTGAAAATTATCAATGACCAAACAATAATAATGATGCATAATCAATAATCAATAATGATGCATTCAGGTCATATGCCATGAAAACAGCTGAAATCTTTGTCGAATTATATCCATGATGTTACATGCCATCTTCTGTCCATAAGATATTAAAACATGGTGCAGACATCATAAATCATGTGGGTCTTCTTATTGGTATGATGTCTGAAGAAGCTCATGAAGCCAGAAATACAGATTGCCGGAATATAAGGGAAAATCATTCTCGAAAAAATAGTAGACGTAATAAAATGGAAGATGTCATGCACGCCTTGCTGGTATCTTCTGATCCACTAATTACATCATTATCTAAAACTTCATCCAGGTCTGCAAAGTCTATTAATTTTAATGACGCCATTGCTGGCCTCAATAAATTTTGAAAACATAAATAATGATTCTGATTATTATAATTCAGATTAAATTTTATATTACATATCTAAATTTATATTTCTATTTATCTATTTGTTAAAATTTTAAGAAAAATATAGCTGTATGTATACATGTATACTGTACATGTATACGATTTTTTTTAACATTTGTATGGGAGCTGTGGGAAAAACTTACGTAGCATAATGAAATTTTGAGGACTTTCGTAAAATAGGTTGAAAACAAAGTTTCATTGAAATATCGTTTCATTTAATCGACCTATTATTAAAATTCCAGGGCTTTTGGATCCACTGTGGAGTTTTTTGTAGATTTTAAAACTATATGAAAATATTAATTTAATGATTTTTGTTCAAATTGGCGCATTTGGTGCGATGAAATTGGCATGCAATTGTTTAAATAAATTAAAGATGTATTTTTTTTTTCAAAAGCTACAACATTTAACTATTGAATATTTAACTATGAAAAACGTAAAAAAATTGAAAATCGGCCTAAAATTACGCGTTCAGGATATTTTAAGAGCAAAACACTTTCGAAAAACCGTTTTTTCGAAATAAATCAAGATTTGAGGGTGTATGAAAAATTTCAAACATGGTTTTATACTATACATACTCGATAGTATAATGAACAATTCCTACTAGGTCTCTTCAAAAGTTCCTCCAACTTTTCTTTTTTTGTCGCACTGTGTTATTTGATTTATCACAAAACAGAAATGTTTGAATGAAAAATTCGTTGCCGTGTTTCAATTCCTACGTTTCCCATCGACGCTAACTGGGCGACGTTAGTATGACGGACTTAAGTCAATTGCCCTGTTTATTGTCTGTTTTTAAAAACGGTAACGCTGATTTATATGTTAATAAAAAACCAAAAAGCATTAATATTCAAATTACTTCAGGAAAGTGGGATTGTAGCAATGGGGTTTGCGAGCATTGCAAGACGTTCCGTCAGTCCTGTATTGACCCATTTAAAAAGTAGTTTTCCATCTACGTCAGCAAGGTATGGCATTCAAAAGTAAATAATCACTCTTACATAATTCGAAAAAAATGAATCGGTTTAATAATGCATTTTGTTCAATTTTATTATTTCTGTCGCATATTAGTTTTCAGCAAACTCGACGTGGAGCTGCTAAATGGTATCCCGATCCAGAATTTATGCAACAATTCAGTGGACCGGTAATGTACCCGGATGATGTTACTTCATTATGGAAAGTACCTCCGTGGAACAGTATGTATTTAACGTAATTTTTATTCCCCCAGTGAAGGTACCATCTCCGATAATATTCTTGATTAGGATCACATTCGAGTCAATATAAGCATGTTTCTACGTCAACTAGTCTCTCCATTTTTAAATTTTAAAGCTGATAGGATTTATATATCAAATATTCAATATAGAATGGTACAAAAACTGGTGAATCTGTTCCTGTAAAATAAAAAAACTCGACGGTAATAATTTAATTAGCGTCAATTTGGATCGGGTACAATATTTTAATATAAAATTTATGAGATTTTCAATTTGTAATTAAATTAATTATGCTGTATTTGACTTAGAAGCTTATTAGAAACACTTAGAAATTATTTAACTTAGAAGCAAAACCGTAACTAGAACCTCCGGGGCCCTGAGGCAACTTCTCACCTCTTGGGGGCTCTATATTACTGTCATATATATTTTCTTGTTTAACATATATACGATTTTCCTTTGTCAGGTAAAGTTATACCTGTCGAAAAGTCTGTTCGAAACCTGACCCTAAACTTTGGTCCGCAGCACCCTGCGGCACATGGAGTACTTCGACTTGTTTTGGAGCTGGACGGAGAGGTTGTAATTTTAGCCACCTTAAAAACTTATTTTAATTTTTTTTTTTTATAGACTGTGATGCGTGCTGATCCTCACATCGGACTTCTTCATCGAGGAACTGAGAAACTAATAGAGTATAAAACGTACACACAAGCGTTACCTTATTTTGATCGATTAGACTACGTATCAATGATGTGCAATGAACAGTGTTACTCATTGGCAGTCGAAAAACTTCTGAACATTGAAGTACCACTTCGTGCCAAGTATATCCGAAGTAAGTTCTTTTAAATTTTCTTGTACAAAACAATATTAATGGTAAATACATAAATAATTCAATCGGAAAATTCCGATACACATTATCGGTTTAATACATCATATTTTATATCCAAGCCAGAGGGCCTTTAAACTCGACCTTCTTGTATATATTCCACAGGTAATGAACAAGGGAATTTATTTATTAAATTGATACAATTTTAATAATAATTAAATATAAATATGTTTAAAAATAATATATTACACAAAAAAAAAATGAATATTTTGAAAAATCGTTCTTTTACAGATTTATCTATTTCGTTTATAGCTTACCTTTAAACAAAAGAATGAATAAAAATTTTTTTTTTTCTTGAAAAAAATTTTTAGGACATGCTTGACTATGGCAAAAACTAGAAGATTTTTATATCTTAAGTAGTTTTTTTAAATATAAAAAAAATTAAATTAAAATGTTTTTTTTTGTTTGACTTATAGGTCATGTAGATACAGATACTTTAGATACGTAGATACAAGACATCTGCATGATTACATTCATAACAGGCCCGGACTGTGGAATACCCTTTTGGGTGACTCTAACGGGGGTTTCGTTCACTAGGACCTGTGGCATCACTTGAAGGGATGCCATGGCGGACATATCGGGCAATTGCTCATTTTCCCTGAGAAATTCGGACGAATTGTTCTTAGTTCTAGCCCTTGGGGTGGCCAGAGATATGAGCGGCTGCATTAATGTCGGCTGAGCAGCCTGAGGCGGATCAGAAACAGCGGATTTCTTACGCTTAGGGGACTCATTTAGCAGCTGAAGGCCACTAAACTGAGTGTCAAGCGCTCAGAGCTGGTCATTGATTTTACGAAAACCAGTGATCAGCTCATTAAATCCATTTTTGGTCTGTCTCATGAACAGCAATAATGAATACCAGACCTACGGAATATGGCATCCGAGTCGTACACTTGGCGTGGACGACGTTTTCATATAGCCAGCAATGGATGGTAGGCTGGGATGAGAAATATAGATAAGACGGGGAAGAAGCAGAGCTGAGCTATGCTTGGAATTGAAATTAGACAAATTATTAATTCTCCTCCAAATATACCGCAGCACTCGCGAAGCGATACGGTTTAGGTTAAGATTCTCAACACTTAAAATTCTCAAGAGCTTCACAAGTAAGTAAACACCGGTTTACCAATATTTATCATTAACGCAGTGCGCACAAAAAAAACACGACCGTTCGCTTAAGAGGAAGATAGAGAAGTGGAAACATTAACAAAATTATGTTTTTGCATTCGAATTTAAAAATAAAATAATTTTAAACAAATGTGTGCAACGCAGTGAAGGAGAGATCTGCGACGCTATAAAAAAGAAGTCTTGTTTCATCTGCCTTTGTGACATTTGGATATCCAGAAAAAATAAAACAAAAATGGGAAGAGAAATAAACAAAATTAGAGTGACGATATACTACATTATTATACAAATGGAAGGCTAAAATCGCCAAACTTGAGTGCGCTTGGCCATCCTGAATACTCAAGTATCTGTTGAGAGAGCATTTTCAGCTTTACAATTTATTCTTAGCGAACGACGGAGATTAATAAATACCCAAAACCCTTCCCCTTTACTGTTAAGCTGAACTTTAAATGAGTATAATAGAAAAAAAAATATTAAATGAAATTACTTATTCATTCAAAAAGTTACATTTTGTACCACTATGCATCAAACAGAATTCAAAGTGCTGAAAAGACTTTTTGAATATACTTTTTCGGTCAATCGGTCTTTTAATGAGGGTCTCTGTGCGAACTTCAATCATATCACTCAGTGAGCGATGTTCAGTAGGCAAGCATTTTACGAATCGCTCAATGTAAAACACTCAACCAAAAACCAAAATCAAAAGAAAGTAAGTCTTCTGCTCTGAGAGAGAGTGATTGTCAAAATTTTTTATGGTGGTTCTCATAAGGAAAAAAAAAGTTAACAGTTATTTGCGAGCATGCTTCAAACAGAACATTTGTGTTTCATAAGTGTTTGTGTCGTATGATTGTGTTCGTCCCAAAATTGTATGAGGTGTAAGGCAAGTAAGAGATGTAACGTTTAGCACCGGAAGTATTTCCTCATATTTGTATTTCATTAAGCATATCTGTGAACTTTATGTAGAGTATTCTTATCTTTGGAAAAAAATAATGGTATCATCTGAATAGATTGAAAGGTTAAATTTCTTATATGTTAAAATGATGTTATTTAAAGATTGGAAGGCGATCATGAACAACACCACAGAGAGGGCCGATCCTTTTGGAATGCCATTGTGCAGAATGTAGAATTTAGATCAGGGGTGCCCAGCCCCATTGCTCTCGTTGCTCCTTTGTTGTTGGAATTGCTAAAAAAAAAAATACAAAAACAATTTATTGTTTTTTCCTACTATTTTTGATTGTTACCGAGCTAAACAACCACAAATGCATAGTCTCTCAGTTTTTCGTACTAATACACAGGCATTTCGTTTTTGTATTGTCGAAAAATTTTCACTGCAAAAATCATTTTTGGTTGAGATCTCAAACAGAATGGTTTACAACAAAGCTATGTATTCCTTCTTTTGTTATTTTATTAAAGTTTTTAAATTTCTATTTCAATACTATTTTTTGTATTACTTTTTTTCCATTGAAAATGGTACTATAATTTTTTTCAGTGTACCGACTTGCCAAACAATACCAATGCAAAAAATCACCAATACATTGGTGCAAGACAATGTATTGGTGATTTTTTGCATTGGTATTGGAGTTTGCTCTTCCGTATGCTGAGCTTGGGCACACCTGATTTAGATAGAGTAAAGTTTACTCTTACTCTTACTTAATGTTACTCTAACGGTTGATCATGAAAGCCTTCGCTAAGTTGAAGGTCTTTTGACCTACCCCCACCGGGAAAGTTGCACCCCTATGCGATCAAAAGCCCTCTCAAAATCAGTTGCCAGAATGGTAACATGATTTTTGGTGGAAAGGGCATCAGATGCATAATGGTGGCGATGCAGAAGAGAATCAAGTGTGCTATGCCATTATATAATTATGTTGCACGTTCTCTATTCATAAAAAGGTATTATAAAAACACTAAAAATATTTTACAAATTATCTTGGTTTTTTATACCCTTGCAGAGGGTATTATAATTTTGTCCAAAAGTGTGCAACGCAGTGAAGGAGACATCTCCGACCCTATAAAGTATATATATTCTTGATCAGGATCACCTCCTGAGTTGATATGAGCATGTCCGTCTGTCCGTCTGTCCGTCTGTCCGTCTGTCTGTCTGTCCGTCTGTCTGTTTCTACGCAAACTAGTCTCTCAGTTTTAAAGCTATCGTCTTGAAACTTTGCACACACCCTTCTTTCCTTTGCACGCAGTATATAAGTCGGAACGGCCCGGATCGGCCGACTATATCCTATAGCTGCCATATAACTGATTGATCGGAAATGGTATAACTTTGGTATTTTTAGAGTTAGAGAGTTCAAATTTTAGGTGAGAGCTATTTTTGGCAAAATAATACGACATGCCAAATTTCATAAGGATCGGCCGACTATATCCTATAGCTGTCATATAACTGAACGATCGGAAATGACCCAACTTTCGTTTTTTTGAAGATAGAAAGCTGGAACTTGGTACAGACTCTATTTTTGGTCAGTTGATCCAACCTACCAAATTTCATTAGGATCGGCCGACTATATCCTATAGCTGCCATATAACTGAACGATCGGAAATGGTATTTGGTAGAAATATCAACTTTCGTATTTTTGAAGATAGAAGCTTGGGACTTTTTTTAGATTTTGTATTGTAATAAATTGGAGTATATATTCCTATTCCCATAAGGATCGGCCAACTATATCCGATGTTTGCGATATATATCCGGTTTTAACTGCAAGGGTATATAAACTTCGGCTCCGCCCGAAGTTAGCTTTCCTTTCTTGTTTTATTCATATTTTTACATACTCACATTCATTATTCTTTTGGTTAACATTTTTTCAAAAGACTTGCTTAAACAGGGAAGGAGATAAATGGGACTAAAGGAAGATATTTCGTGGGTTGGTTTATTAGGTTTTAAAGTGGGGATTATAGTAGAGGATTTCCAGACGAGGGGTTAGGAGCCTTTACCAAGCATTGGGGTTAGGAGCCGTTACCAAGCATTTTATTGTACACTTCTAATAAGCGATACTTAGCTTCAGAGGGAAAATGTTTGAGCATTGGGTATGAAATCCGGTCTATACCCGGAGTTTTAACGGGTATAGTTCAAGTTCTTCGACGTTTCACGTTCTGAGGGTTGGAGGCTACAATGGCGATGAGAGCTGGCTGAGATCGGCACCGATAGAATCGAGCAGCGGCGATTACGTGGCTTCCTCCAGGCGAAGAGGACAGCGCGATGTAACTCGGTGAAGGTTCAGAACCGAGAACTGCCAAGCACCTTATAGTCCAGATAAGGACAAAAAAAGCTCATCGTCCCTTTGTCCCAGATACTCCTTCCGGTCCATGATGGCCAAAACTCCAAAACAGGACCTTTTTAAAAATTCGTCAGAAACCAACCTTTTGGTTTTTAAATTAAAGGGTCTCAATCAGAGATAAACCGATATTTTTTGCTCAAATTTGATCAGGTTATTTACTCACCGTTTGATTGAGGTTTTTATTTATTTTCAGGTTAGATGGTAATTGAAAATTGAAAATTTTTGCCCTTCTAATTGTGTTCATAAATGTGTGGAAAGATATGAGCTTTTTTGGCAGTTGCATTAGTCGCGTCGTTTCCAGCTATGTGCGTGTGTCATGGGATCCACAATAATTTTTTGTTCGATTGAAAGTTGTTGAGATCTCGTGATAGTGAGTTCCAGCAATTGACGAATCTCTTCTTTTGAGAAATAGCGTAATTGCAAGCTGAATAAATTGCTGCCAATTCTGCCGTGAAGATAGAGCTTTATATGTATATTCTGGTAGGAGTGCTGTTTTTATTATATTTGTGTCAGTAGGTATACTAAAAAAAACTCTATGCTCGGACTTGG